CAAGTACTGATTTTCTGCCCAAAAGACTTGGACTATTTAACATGCTGTAAACTGTCACTTTGTAGATGGTTAATAGTAATACCTCAATTTTTTTTGGCTTATTCATTCAATTACCAAATTTAAGTGATCGGACCTATACAGAAAAGCACCATAGATATTGCAACAACATAACCTTCAAAGCTTGTTTTCCATTAAGAGCATTAATGCGCCCATTCAGTTGGATTTTGAATGCCAGGAAAATGCAATTCATTGAATCATAAAATGATCAAGCATAGAAGGTGGCTATTTGGCTCAATATGTTTGTTCTGGATCTTTGAAAGAGCTATTAAATGAATTCTACTCTCTTGCACTTTCCATTTAACACTGTTAAGTTCTTCCTGCCAACAGTGGCTCAGTGGTTAGCACTGTTGTCTCACAGCGCTAGGGACCTGGGTTCGATTCCACCTGCGGGCAACTATCTGTGTGGAGTTTGCACATTCTCCCCGTGTCTGTGCGGGTTTCCTCCGGGTACTCCGGTTTCCTCCCACAGTCCAAAGGTGTGCAGGCTAGGTGGATTGGCCATGCTAAGTTGCCTGTAGCGTTCTGGGATGTGTAGCTTAGGTCGGTTATAAAGGCGTGGGTCTGGGTGGGATGCTCCAAGGGTCATTGTGGACTTGTTGGGCTGAAGGGCCTGTGTCCACACTGTAGGGATTCTATGTAACTATTTGTCCAATCCTGTTTTGATTGTACAGATTTGCTTCCACAACTCTTTCGGTCAATGCATTTCTCACCATCTCAAAGATGTGCAAGTTAGATGGATTGGCCATGCTAAATTGCCCTTGGTGTCCAGGAGTGTATAGGTTAGGTGGATTAGTCATGGGAAATGCAAGGTTACAGTAATAGGGTAGGTGGGTGAGTCTGGGTGGGATGCTCCTCAGAGAGTCGGTGTGGCCTGTTTCCACACTGTAGGGATTCTATTAAATTTGTTTAAACTGGCTACCTGACTCACCTGCTACTGGAAATGGATTCTTATTTACTTTATCAAAATTTGAAGACCACTATTAAATGTGCTTTTAACTTCCTGTGCTCTAGGGAGAGTAATATCTATAGTCTCTCCTCATAGGCAAAGTACTGCATCTTTGGCATAATTTAAGTAAACATTTTTGCATCCTCTCTAAGTCCTCACATCCCTTTTTAAGTGCAGTACCCAGAATTGAACACAATACTCCAATGGAGACCTAGTTAATGTTTTATAACGGTTTTGAATTTTGTATTCCATTTATTAATTAATAAAGCCAATATTCCTTTTTTAATAAAAGCCTTCTCAACTTGTCCTGCTGACTTCAAGTATTAGTCTACAAACGTCTGGCCTCGATGTTCCTGCTCCCCATGTAAAAGTACATAATTTAATTTATATTGCCGCACTTTATTTGAACTTATAAAACATATCACAGTTCTCTGCGTTAAATTTCATCTGTAATGTATTTCGCCTGTCTGTCACTCCTATCCTCATTCTTTACATTTCTGATTTGCATGGCATCAGTAAACCGAAATTATGCCTGCTCTGTATGCCAACGTAAAGATCATTAATATATAGCGAAAAGAGGTGTGGTCCTAATAATGATGCATGGGGAGCAGTAATGTACACTTCCCTCCATTCTGAAATACAGAGTTCACCACTGCTGTCTGTTTTTGTCCCTTTGTCATTTTCACATCCACATTGCAGGGTCCCTTGGGTATCAATTTTGCTAGCCTATCTTTTATTTGGTACTTTATCAAATGCCTTTTGGAAATCCATATACACATCAACACACTTCTACCTGAAATAACTCCACAGAGGCCAGTATCCCGTCACCAAGTCACTCTTTCTTTACAAATGGAAAGACCTTAATACTGGTTGAGCTCCCTCAGAGTGAACAGGATGTCTGACATGCCTTTTTTTATGTCTGTCAGCTAAGGCTTACTGATTGGACCAGATTAATAACCACAAGACAGGGAACTCATATCATATGAGGTCCACCTGGCTGACCTTGTTACAATTACTATACTATACAATTACTATAATTATTATTACTCTCTCTCACTTCATCAAAGAATTCCAGTACAAAAGCCAGGTAATAGTTAATTCAGTTAAATCCTACAGTCATCTGGATTCTTAATGAGTCTATGGATGAGATGGTGGCGTACAGACTTGAAGTCATAGATTTCTACAGCACAGAAAGAAGGCTCTTTGGCCCATCAAGTACGTCCCAGTCAAAACCAAGCACCTAACTGTTCTATTTTTCAGCACCCCATATCTCCTTTGGACCTCCTGCCCTTACCTTAAATCTATGCCACCAGTCATTGATCCCTCCACAAGCGAAAAAGTCACTTACTGTCTACCATATCTACATCCCTGATAATTTTATACATCTCAATCATGGCCTCTGCAGTCTCCTCTGCTCCAAGGAAACCAACCCCAGTTTATCCAGTCTCTCCATATAACTGAAACACTCCAGCCCAGTCAATATCTTGATAAATCTCTCCTGCGTCCTCTCCACCGCAATCATATCACTCCTATAATGCGGCTGCCAGAACTGCTCACAATTCTATAGCTGTGGCCTAACCAATATGACACTCAGTCTCAGCAGAACCCCTCTACTTTTTCTGTGTGCCTTGGCTAATAAGGACAAATATCCCATATACCTTCTTATCCACTTTATCTACCTATCCCTCAAGGGACCGAAGGACATGCAAATCAAGGTCCCTCTGATCTTTGGTGCTCTCCAAGGTCCTACTGTTCATCTTATAGTCTCTTCCTTGTTCATCCTGCCCACCACTTCACAATTATATGGATTGAATTCCATTTGCCACTGATCAGCCCATCTGACCAGCCTGTCTACATTTTACTGCGATCTAAGTCTACCAATTTTTGTATCATCCACAAACTGATTAACCCTCCTACATCCAAGCCTTAATCATTTATATATACCATAGAAAACAATGGCCCATTACTGATCTCTGCATGACTCCGCTGGACACAGGCTTTCAGGCACAAAATACCCCCTGATCATCACCTGCCGTTTCCCACCACTTAGCCAATTCTGAATCCAATTTGCCAACTTTCCTTGGATCACGTGGGCTCTTCACTTTGCTATCTGTCTGCTATCAAAGGCCTTCATGAAATGCAAGTAAACTACATCAAATGCATTGCCCTCATCTACTCACCTGGTGACCTTTTTAAAAATTGACCCTGGCTTAACAAATCCATGTTAAGTGCTCTTGATTAATCCCTGTCTCTCCAAGTGCAGACAGATTAATGCTGTCCCTCAGAATTAGTTCCAATAGTTCACCCACCACTAGTTTGACTGGTCTGTAGTTTCCTGGTTCATACCTTTCTCCCTTGAATAATGCAATCATATTGCCTATCCTCTGGTCCTCTGGCAAATCTCCTGTGACCAGAGGGCAATTAAAAATTTTTGCTAGTGCTCCTGCTATTTCCTCCCTTCACTCATAAAAGGAAATGTCACTGTTGTAATAATCCAGAGTGCCAGGCTAATTTGCAGGGGGTATAGGTTCAAATCCCAACATGGTATCCGGTGAATTTGAATCAATAAAAATCTTGAATTTAAAAAAAAGGATGTTCTAGTGATGACCATGTAACCATTGTTGATTGTTGTAAAAACTCATCTAGGAAATCTGCTGGCCTACATGTGACTCCAGACCCATGAAAATGTGACTGAGTCTTAACTGCTCTCTGGGCAAAATGGTCTACCCAGTGATGCCCATATCTCATGAAAGAATAAAAGAAATGAAATGTAGGTTGACTGAAAATCTTGGACTAGAGGAACTGGATATGAAACAATGCTTTGCCTAAGTTAATGTGCCTTTTATCATTGTGAATGTTTATGAAATTGAAATTACTGAATGCAGTATCCATCCTATAGATATATAGCTTAGAAGATATCACTTAAAAGTGCATTCTGATAAAAGATCTGACAATTTAACTGTTTCTTTCTCCACAGGTGCTGCAAGACCTGCTGAGCATTTCCAGCACTTTCTGTTGTACTACTGAATTCAAATATCCACATTTTGCTCTTGTCTTCTGTTGAACAAAGAAACATCAGTAGAATGTATAATGGTGATGATGTATAATCATAGAATCCCTACAGTTGGAAAAAGGCCATTCAGCCCATCAAATGCTGTCCCTCCAAAAATCATCTCACCCAGACTGTCACCCTATCCTCATAACCCCACATTTACCATGGCTAACCCACCTAGCCTGCACACCCCTGGCCACTATGCGACAACTTAGCATGGCCAATCCACTTTTGGACTGTGGGAGGAAACCAGAGCACCCAGAGGGAAACCATGCAGACTCAAGGAGAACACGCAAATTCCACACAGACAGTCACCCGAGGTTGGAATTGAACACGGGTCCCTGGCACTGTGAGGCAGCAGTGCTAAGCATGCTGCTCAATGATGTTGATGTCACATGATTATATAAAGTGAAGGAAGCAAAGCTGTATAAGTGAATGTGCATATCTATAAACACTGTGAAAAGATTCAATGAAAACACCTCAGACTCAAAAAGCAGTACTTGGGAGATTAACAGTCAGACCCATACAATAAAATATCTGAGAGTCGAATAATTATCTGAACATCTCATCCAGCCAATGAATTTGTCACAAGTGATGTGTGTAACAACTTCTGTAAACTGCACACAAAACTACCTATAGTGGAGGTAGAGGTCATGTGACTATGGTAACCCAGCTAGTACACCAAGTAAAATTGCATTTCTTTATAACAAACAAAAAGATTGCATGCATTATAATTTGTAGTTAAAGGTTACTCAAGTTACCCAGTATAAATGATTAACAAATAAAGTGATCATTCATTGATAAAACTGTGTGTAAATGCTAGTCAATTCCACTTCCATCAGTCTGCACACGCATTGCATATGTGGTCTTTAAAATGTGCAGATATCTTAATGGTTCATATCCACATTGTCTTTAGCTGTTTGTCTTGTATCCACTTGCTAGGTATCCGCTAGGCTGATGCTCCTTCTCTGGAAAATGCTGTTTGTGTGGCGGCTGCTGTTATTCTGGTAATTGTTGTTGCTGTTCCATTTCTATTGCTAGAGAATGGTTGTATGTAGATGTGTGTCGTTGTGATAATATATTTGGTGTTTCACGTTTACTGTGTATCATCAGGGTGACATCTGCTTCACGCAGGTCCCTGGTTGCCACATGGGCTGTGTGTTGTTGAAAGCATTGAACATTTTCACTCTTACTGGCTGCCTAATACTCAACTCTGTGAATGACTTTGCAGTTTTATCACAGTGCAATTTGATTTTCTGTCATTTCACCTTGATTTTGCAGCATCTTTGGAGAAGCCATAGTTCTAGCATAAGGGGTAACAGTTTTAAAACAGAGATGAGGAGAAATTCCTTCTCTCAATGGGTTGTGAGTCGGTAGAATTCACTACCCCCAGAGTGCAGTGGATGCAGGGACATTGAATAAGTTTAAGGAGGAGATAGACAGATCTTTAATTAGTAATGGATAGAAGGGTTATAGAGTGTATGTAGGAGAGTGGATTTGAGACCAAGATGAGATCAGCCATAATCATATGAAACGCTGAAGCAGATTCAAGGGGCTGAATGGCCTAGTCTTCCTCCTGTTCTTATGCCTGTTACTACTTCTGGTCTCAGTAGTTTTCTTGCTCTTGAAAGAGTAGTTTGGGTGTAGTGTCACATTAGCCTTTGAACTGGATTGTTTTCCGTGTTTTCAATAAGTGTATTTTGTCATCAAGGATTACCTTGCAGAAGTCTGTGCTGAGTTCCCTCAATTTCTTTATAAGTCCTTTGGTGATTTTCATTGCTTCTTCAGCGTTTCCATTTGACCTGGGATTGTGTGGAAATGATGTAAAGTGTTGAAGTTCCCAATCCTTTCATTCAGTAGCTAAATTTATCCCTGTGAATTGAGGGACATTGTAACTCATCACAATGTCTAGATTGCCTTAATGACTAAAGTGTGCTTTCAGGCATTCTACAATCTTAGTACTCACTGACATCAGGTTGTCCAATTCCCAGTCATTGCAATAGTTGTAGATGGGGAGAGAAGGTAATCGGTTTGTGCAATTGAAGAGGTCTACATCAAGCTTCATTCCTGCTCTATCTGGGATAGTTTGCATTATAAGTGGCTGCTTAACTTGTTTAACATGGTATTAATTTCAAGCACTGTACTGGCAACATAACCAACGTTTTCTCCAATTTTTTTTCTGGCTGCGTGGGCCTCTGAAGTCTGTCTGTGGCAGTGACTCCTGGAACCAGAATTCAATGCTACGAATGGTGTGCTGACACCAATAACAGTGCACAGAACCTTGGGAGATTAGAAGAAACATTGAATGTAAGTATTTAGATGTTCATAGAAACATAGACGATAGGAACAGGAGGAGGCCATTCAGCCCTTCAAGCCTGCTCCGCCATTCTTCACGATCATGGCTGATCATTCAACTCAATAGCCTAATCCTGCTTTCTCCCCATAACTTTTGATCCATTCGCCCCAGGTGCTATATCTTGTCACCTCTTGAATACATTTAATGTTTTGCCATCAACTACTTCCTATGGTAATGAATTCCACAGGCTCACCACTCTTTGGGTGAAGAAATGTCTCCTCATCTTCGTCCTAAATCATCTACCCCGAATCCTTGTTCTATGACCCCTGGTTCTGGTGTGACTGGACTAATACTTCATGAAGCTTGCACTACTAATCAAGAGGATTTGAGTTCAACCAACTATGTCAGTTAGAGGGTTTGAATTCAATTCCTGAAAAATGTGGAGCTTAAAAGTTTGTATCAGTCAGAGCGACCATGAAGATGTCAGATTGCTGTAAAAACCTGACTGATTCACTGATGTGTTTTAGAGAAGCAAACCTCCTTAACCTTACTGGGTCTGGTCAATGCATGACACCAGCCCCACACCAACAGCTTGGCCTGCTGTGACCTAGAAAGCTACTCATTTATATCAAAATAATGACTGATCCAGGATGAAGCTTCACCATCATCAAGTCATTCCTCTTAAGCTAGGTACTTCAGGATTGGTCATGGTGAGGGCAAGAGGAGGTCGCTATGTGTGAGGCAGATCAGGGGATCTAGAAGGTAGAACTGGAGGAGCCTCAGACCTCACAACTTGCCAACAAGTTTGAACTTTTGCAGTTTGTTGAGACGAGAGCAGAGACTGCAGGTGGCAAATTGACCATAACACCATGGTACAGGGAACCATTTATGTGGGGGGGTAATAAAATAGAATGCAGTTGCAGCAGGGGATAATACCATGAGGGAGATAGACACTGTCCTCTGAAACCGAGACGGGATATGGAGATAGGCTGCAGAATACCGTGGTTCATAGAAGCCTGGATAGCCTTGTTCATGAATCACAAAATATTAGCATGTAAGTACAGCAAGTAATTTGGAAGGAATGTTGTCTTTATTACAAGGGGGTGAAATGTAAAAGTGGTGAAAGTCTTCCTAGAGCTCACGTATTATGTACAGTTTTTGACTCCTTACTTAAGAAGAGATATACTTACATAGGAAACAGTTCACTGAAGAATTGGTCAGCTGATTCTTGGCTGCAAGGGATTTATCTTATAAGTAAGAAATGACCAGGGCCAGTATGCATTGGAGTTTACGAAGGAGGGGTGATCTTATTGATATGTATAAGTTTCTGACGGTGTATGACAGGCTTTGTACTGAAAGAATTCTAGGTGTAGGAGACACTGTAAAAAGTAACAGTGTATATTTGAGAGTTGTTAATCTATAGAATTCTGTTGCCAGAGAGCACTGGAAATTGGGTCATTGAATATATTCAAGACTGAATTAAACAGATTTTACATTGACAATGGAAGCAAGGATTATGAGGGACAGGCAGGAAAGTTGAGTTCAGACTGAATTAGCTCACACATGATCTTATTGAATGGTGGAGCCAACTCCCTTGATGAGGCAAATAGCCTACTCCTGTAGCTATTTGTCTTACATCAGTTCAAATATAACATAACATTAAGTACAATACAGATTAATTTATTTCAAAACTGGCACTTGGGGTATCTTACTACACTTCCACTCAGAGTTTGTATTAATTTCATGCCAACTACACATCCTAAGGAGTTTTACATGCTTTTCAGCCCCTCAGTCCAATATGGTGGGCATATCTTAAATAATGACCTTTCCTCATTGAGCCTTTGTATAGCCTGCCCCAGGCTTTGCTGAGTCCTTCCATGTGTAGTTGTGGATCTTGGAAAGTACAAGAGTTGGTTGTCAATAACTATTTGCATTTGAAGAACAGCCATTTTTAGGTAAAACAAAGATCTTCTAAATTGATGATCATCCAGCAGCAGCTGATGTTAATCTCGGTGTACATCCCCAAGAAAAGCCTGCAGAGCACATTTTGGAGCTGTTTGGGATGGATCTTGACAAAAATCCACTGCATCAATTTCTAGACGTTATTTGCAAATTCATCTTCCCAAAGGAGGTGGGAGTTGGTCTTTTCCCACTGCAGCTGCCTTGAATGCAACCTGTGGGTGAGACTCTAGCCAAGCAGAAGGGATCTGATAGTACGTGTCTTTATCACCACCAGCTAAGACGATGCTTGTTTTTAAGCTTTGGCAATCAGGCATTCTGCCAAATGACTTTGACAGTCTGCTTAGGGGCCATCCAACAAGACCGGCCATCCCCTGTTTGCACAGGGCCTTGAGGACATTGTGTGTGTATATTACTATCCGATGAACTTGTAGTCAAAGGTGCTTTTTTAACACAAGGGGTTCCCTGAGGGACAGATGTAGCATGGTCCAGTTGGTGCAGCTACACAGAAAGGTAGCTATCAGAACGCTGGAAACATTGGGCATAATTATTTCTCTTTTGTCTAGAGATTTATACCTTATGTCTTTCTAGATACAGCCTATTTAAGAACTCCAATGTGGAAGATGACTCAGATGACTACTATGGCATACACCATGAGTGTCGAGTACCTGATTACTGGGATCTTACCTTCGTTGGGGAGAGAGTATCTCTTGGTTTCATTTTCACCATAATAACTTACAGTTTTTGCAAACCCTGTAGTCTCTGAATCATATCCCCAACCAGGTATTCTGATGTAACAGTGAAGAATTGGTTGGCTGAATTCCACCCCAAAAATTTTGGATTTATTAATGATTACCTTATAGTTGTGGCCTTTAGATTTGGAGTCTCTGCAACTGGAAACACTTCATTATCTTTCCTCTATCAAACACTTTGATAATTTTAAAGTCCTCTACCTTGTCACTTCTCAGCTGTCTCTTTTTGAGAAAAAGAGTTGAAATAACTCCACAGAGGCCGATATCCCTTCACCAAATTATCCTTTATTTATAGATGGAGAGTCTTTGACACTGATCCAGCTCCCTCAGAGCCAGCTCTCAGAGTGAACAGAACCTCTGACACTCCTTATGTGTCAGCCAAGGCTCACCGATTAACAGCCCCGATCAGGGAACTCACATTCTATGAGGTCCACCTGGCCAACCTCGTTACAATCACTACAAGAGTCTCGGCCTTTACTGACATGTACAACCTTTCAATTCTGGTACCACCTCGGCAATCCTTTTGTACTTTCTCCAGTGCCCATGTATCCTTTTCTGTGGTACGGAATCCAGGATTGTGCACAAGTGATCTGTAACCTACTCAAGGTTCTATACAGGTGTAAAGTAATTTCTTGCACTTGAGTTTTCTTCCTCTAGAAGTAATGGAGCTAGGAACTGATTGCTGAACTTTAGATCATTAGGAACAGCAAAACTTTGTAGTGATATTCCAGTTAGTTATTTTTCTATAAAATTTCAATTGTTATATTTCACAAGTCTAATTTGGGATGTGAAAACTTAAAACAAATAGTTAACTATCAAGTAAGATTAGAACAACATAATGTTACAGCTTATAAGGTTGGTAATTAGATTTTATAGGAAAGACCCATTGCTATGGCAACATGTAGAGCTGCACTTTACCTGGTAATAGGGTTACTGGCTACTATTGCCTCCTAATGCTAATGTTAAGACTGAATGCAGCTTTAAAAAGCTGTGATCATGGAATTAAATTGAGCACATTCTGTACTTGATCAGAAATCCAAATCTGAGTTAATCTGAGTTAATGAAACAACATTCAACTTCCTAAATAATTACACACTGAGACATATGCCCTCTAATTTTGCTAATTTTGCAAATTGCTAACTGATTATGGACTTAGAATTCTTAAAGCAGCAAAAGAACCTACACATACCTGGCAATATAAATTACGGTGTTGGGATTTTATGGCCTCTGTTTTGTGAGCCTGTTTTATTACCTGTTATGATGTTGCTAACTTCCCAGTGTCTGTGCAAACTGCAGGGTTGTGACATGGATTTAAATTCAGATTGTCAACAAAATGACTGCCTACCTTCCGTAAAGCATCAAATGCTCTTCCAGTAATTGATTGAAAATTGGTTCACATAGCTTAGGGCTACTGCTTATGTTTAGATGTATAGAAAGGGAGACAGCAAGTTGGACCTTTAGGCCTAGAGATATGGATATTACTTACCACATGATCTCAGACTTGTAACTTCTACAATCTCAGTGTTCAAAACCAGTTAAGTGTAGTCACTATCATAATTTAGGAACTAGAACATAGAACATAGAACAGTACAGGCCCTTCGGCCCACGATGTTGTGCCGAACTTTTACCCGAAACCTAAGGTCTATCTAACCTCCACCACTACCTTATACTATCATCCATATGCCTATCTAATAGCCGCTTAAATGCCCCTAATGAGGCCGACTCCACTATCCTCTCCGGCAATGCATTCCGCACCCCTACCACTCTCTGAGTAAAGAACTTACCTCTGACGTCTCCCCGATATCTACCTCCTTTCACTTTAAAACTATGTCTCCTCGTAAAAGCTACCTCCACCCTAGGAAAAAGTCTCTGGCTGTCTACTCTATCTATACCTCTGATCATTTTGTACACTTCTATCAAGTCACCTCTCATCCTTCGTCGTTCTAAAGAGAAAAGCCCTAGCTCTCTCAACCTTTCCTCGTAAGACCTTCCCTCCATTCCAGGCGATATCCTGGTAAATCTCCTCTGCACCTTTTCCAACACTTCCACATCTTTCCTGTAATGAGGTGACCAGAACTGGACACAATACTCCAGATGTGGCTGAACCAGGCTTTTGTATAGCTGGAGCATAACTTCACGGCTCTTGAACTCAATCCCTCTATTAATGAAAGCTAACACATCATACGCCTTCTTAACAACTCTATCCACCTGGGTGGCAGCTTTCAGGGAACTGTGGACATGAACCCCAAGATCCCTCTGCTCCTCCACACTGCCAAGAATCTTTCCGTTAACCCTGTATT